TTTGTTGGTACGAACAAACTAGGTGTTGGTATGAACAAACTAGGTGTTCATTACTCAATCACAACCAGCACATTTTTTTGTGTAGTGCACATAGATTTTTCAAAGCTCAAATATATATATATATATATATATATATATATTTCACTTCCTTTTGGTCCAAAATCCACGCACAGCCTCCAAGGCCATTTTTGACTCAACCCCCCTCAAATAATAGGGCAATAAAACTACAAAGTTAGCCATTAGGACTTGTTTCCTCAGCAATTTCACATGAGGCAGTGGAAAGCGACCAGGTATGGTCCTTTTTCTTCACACACACAGACAAACAAACCCCATCAATATGAATACTCCAAGAGCCTTGGAATTCGAGTTAGTGGCCTTAATTTGCATTTCCCACAAACATGCCCTTAGGCACCTGCCTCGGACTGAGAATTTCAACATTCACTTTATCAAATTTTATTACAAAAATTGTGCAACCAAAGGCTCTGATCTCGCCTTTATATACCACCCACCATGTCCCTTCATACCTATGTCCACTCTCCTAACTCCTATCCTTTCTCTTTTCTCATACCCAACTTTTCTTTTCATTTTCACTACCAGTATCCTGGCCCCCTAGTATCTCTTCATACATTCCAAGATGATGTTTGGTGGCCGGCAGTGGTGGCTTACCTCCGACACATCGCAGAGGTACAAAGGCGGTGGCGGTGGGAATGGTTGTGTTGTAAATATAGGTGAAGGATGAAAACGTAAAAGAAAAAACAACTACAAGGCTTTGCAATTGCGCTCTCCTGAGTTTCTAGCCTTGTTGAACCAGGCCAGAGTTGGGAGAGCAGCATTGTTGCATTGCCGTGGGGAATTGAGGGTAGCGGTCCGATGTTAGTTTAACTTTAAGTCCTTAATTATTGTTTTTAATTCCTTTTTTACCCTTAGTTTAACCTCTCCTTTTCTTCTCTTTTCATTTTGGCATTAGTGTTGTGATATGAACATGGGATGTAAGAGATGCATACTGAGTTAGCTTATGTTAAGGTTGATTAGGTTTTTATTGTTGGAGGTTTTAAGTTCGAGTCGAGTTTAAGAAGTTTGGATTTTGTAGAAATGCTTCTGGGCATGCATCACTTACACTCATTATGTAGCATGTAAGAGTATTTGCTTTTGGAATGAATTAAAGATCAAGAAATCACTTAATTTGGTGTTGTACTTCCTCTTTAATTTCTTTCTTCATTTTTTTTTCCTCTTAGCTTTCAATTGTTGATACAAGTTGGTGCTGCCTTGAAATTCCATTCTTTCCTTGACTTTTCTCTTGCCCATCTTTGTAACTTCATATGAAAATATCTGTTTTTATCAGCAAGGCATAAAGGGAGAAACTACCTAAAAAAATTTTTATAGGGATAGTTTTCCTCTTCTTTTTCAAAATTTTATTCATTTATTTCAAGATTTGAAGATAAAACATCTAAAATATACTGTTTTTTGGTATAAGAAGCTTAGATGTGGTTATGAGTGGAAAGAAAAGAAATATTATCCTCCCCCCCCCCCCCCCCTTTTTTTTGGGGGGGGCCTAAGGAAGTTTAGAATTTTTCAGATAGTCAAGATATTCATTAGTAATCTTATGCACTTTAGAATTAATTTTTTCTTGAGCGATTTTAATTTGAGCACTAGGCCCAGAAAACTTAGATGTGATGCTTGTTCCATGTCATGATTTTTTCCTGTTAGTTTAGACATAACAAGCTAACATGTGTTCTTTTGAACCCTTCTACATATTCGGTCCAAAAAGAAAATTCCCTAAAATTTGGAAAAAACCGAAAGGCGTTTTCACTCGCTTGGGCTCCAGCCTTCAGCAGGCTTGGGTTTAAATATTTAGTTTGTGCTTATGAGCTAATGGGCTGTAGTTACTTGGACATAACAAGTGCAGTTAAATCATTCAAAATACATCAAAAAATTTACAACACACTCAAACAATTGATTATATAGTGTTTCAATTGTTCTTGCTCAGACATAACATGCCATTGATTATAGGCTGGTAGCATCAAGAAAAACATAACAACTTTCACAAAGGCCATGAAATTTATTTAAACTAGTGCTTTCACAAAAGAGCAAACATCCTACAAGAACAACAGAGAAACAGCACAGATTTATACTATCAGGAAATCATAGTGGCAGAAACTTGAGGATTTCTGGTTTTCTATGAGCTTCTCTCCATTGATTCAGGTATCAAAAGCTCCTTCGGAGAATCTGACAGAGGCTCCCTTAATGACACATACTGAGGGGTAGATAAGGAAGGCCTTGGAGGCATTTTCAACTCATTAATGCTTCCTTGCAATATTTCGACGACTCTGCTCATTGAGGGTCGATCTGATGCCTTCACTTGAGTACACCATAATCCAATTATCAACAGCTTTTTCACTGTGATGGCCTCACTGTCGGCCACAGTCTCGAGCTCTATCTCTCCTCCATCTAGTTGGTCATATGCCCATGAAGGGAAGAATGCATTGCTCGAACCCATGTCAACATTCCTCCTTTCGCTAGCCATTTCCAACAGCAATATTCCAAAGCTATAAACATCAGATTTACTAGAAACGTCTCCGAAATCCCTTGAGATCAATTCAGGTGCCATGTATCCCATTGTTCCTTCTGTAGCTCTCATTGACACAAAATCAGACTTTGCATAGAATTTTGCCAGGCTAAAAGCTGCAATTTTGGGGGTGAAATTCTGATCCAGCAGAATATTCTCAGGTTTAATGTCAAAATGAAGAATGCACTCATCAGACCCTCTATGCAGGAACTCAATACCCTTGGCCATTCCTAAAGCTATTTCTTGGAGTTTTTCCCAACTGAATTTGTGAGCTTTTCCTCTTCTGGAGAAAATGTACTTCTCAAGAGATCCATTAGGCATATATTCACAGACAAGAGCACGTTTAGATCCCTCTGAACAGAATCCCACCAATTGTACCACATTGTAATGACAAATCCCACCAATTCTAGCAACTTCATTAATGAAATTTTCCTCATTGACTTTTAAAGTTTCAAGTAGTTTAACAGAAACTAAACAACCATCCAGAAGTTGCCCCATATAAACTGATCCAAAGCCACCTTTCCCCAATTTATTTTTGAAGTTATTTGTCATGGAAATGATATCAGTATAAGAGTACCTCTTGGGAGTCCCTAATTGCCTGCTTTGCACAAAGTTGTCAACGTTTTTATTCTTCTTTCGTGTAGTTATATACTTGTGAAGAATGAATCCAAATACAACTAGCGGAAGAAGGATGAATCGAACAATTAATATTATCACTGCAAAACAAATTGATGTACCAGTCCGTTTTAGTTCAAGGAAAAACATTGCAGTAGATAAGCATATAACTTTCATTGAGTACCAAAAAATAAAAAGGTAGGAAGGAGAAACGAGCCTTGAATTGAGTGTAACGGAATTATACCTGTCAGAAAGGCTTCAATCAAAGCCAATATTACTTCCCATATAGCATAGTAATCTGCAATATGTACCCAAAAAAATGAAAATTAAGAACCAAATGATATATTAAGATACAAATTGAGAAGGAAAAGTTTCACAGGAATCACAGCACAGTCTATTTATTCTTCATCAGAAACAGCTAAAGAAAAGAAGAAAGGCAAGAATATATATACTAAGCTCCATAGCTACCTCCATAGTTACACCTATAGGTGTATGGCTCATCCTCAGATGCTAAGTTGCAGTAAGCACCAGTTGACCAGCAATCCCAGCATCCATCTGTCCATCCCAGATCAAACCCCTCCTCCAGTATCTTTGAAATAGTTTCATACGAAAGGTTCTTCTTTGACTTATCATAGATTGTGGGAACCGCTGAAGTACTCACGCATGACTCCGGAATCCCATCAGGAAGGAAAAAATAGTCGCTAATACTGACAAATACATGGTGTGCATTCCCACTTAAACAGGGCACTCTGGTATAAGCCGGGTCAGTGAGATCCTCCGAGCAATTCAGAAAATCGACCTGACGGTTGGTAAGTAGTCCGCTGTACCGGCCGTCCCAGAGCACCTCTCCCATCGACAGAGGAAAGTACGGAAAACTGCAGCTCCCATTCGCCAAGTTCACATCAACGAGACGGATTATGCCTTCCTCGTAGTCAATTTTCTTCACATAGTATTTTCCTGAATTGAAATTCAAGATGGTTTTGTTATTCTCACAAGAAAGCTGGTAGCCGATATTGCCGCAGTCCGGCGGGTCACCTACCAGGCGAAAAGGATGTCTGATATTAGTGATATTTCCGCAAACAGACGAACATAAGGTTCTTCCTCGGACCGTAACGATGGAGAGGAACATCAACAGAAGAAAAAGAAGAGCTACCGGAGAAAAGGATGATTCGTCCCTTTTCATTTCCTTTCTTCCACGGAATCAGAACTGAAGTTGGAGTTGGAGAGGATTTCTGAGATGTTGAAATTTGATGGCGGATTGATAGAGAAGCAGGAATGAAAAAGTTGGTCAATTGGTACTGAGGGCCTGTTTGGTGTCCCACGAGAGTTTTAATTTTTTAATATTATTTATATTTTATAAATTTAAATTTTTTTTTTAAAAATTTATATTTTTAAATATTTTTTTAATTTTAAAAAGTTTTCAAACAATAAAAATTTAAAAATTTTAAATTTAAATTTTTCTTAAATTTTTTTACTTACTTTTCATTTATTTTTTTATTTTTAAAAAAATTAAAATTTTATTCCTTCTTCGATAAAAATTTAAATTTATCATTTATAACAAAACTTGAAAAAACAAAAGCTGTCGCAAATCACTCAAACAGGCTCTTACTTATTCGCAGGCAGCTTCTCTTTCACAATGATTGAAAGTTGAAAGCTTGGAAATTTCTTGGTTATTGAAGATGAGTCAGTGGCGACGGGCCCAAAGTCAAAAAGTTGCCTCTTTAAGAATTAAGAGAGTGATGAGCATAACAAGAAGAATGGCCATAAACCACCGGAAGTAATGTTACGTTACTTGTAAAATATTATCTTTAAAAAAAAGTTGATTTTGTTTAATTTAATTTATAAAAAAAATTAATAA